TGTCACTATTTTGCAAAAGCATTTTCAGGACCTTACTGGATGCCAGATATCCAGACGCACTAATGCAAAATGCATTAGCCCAAGCAGCAGGAGCTCCAGGGCTGCTGGCGCCATTAAGTTCCACTCATTTCATCTTTATTATAAATACAGTATTGTAGTCTCATTCTTTTCTCCCATCCTCTCTTCACAAAAGCATCACAAGGCTCAAGTCGATCGGTCTCTTTGACTTCATACAGTTGTTAAACCACAGGCAGTAAATACCTCTTTCAGTTGTTTAAGGCCAACATATTTATTTCAGTAGAAAACTGAATGAAATCTGAAAGGACTGAAGAATCGCCCCTCCCCCCAAAAAATACTTTCAGCTACACTTTTCTATCTATGGACTGAATGCAAAAGACACTTCTTTAAAGCTGCCATGTGAAAATTAGTGTATCGTCAAGCTGGCTCCTGCCCCAATTGTATTTCTCATGCTCCCAAACCTATTTGGGGTAAAAGACTCCAATAATGATCTTACCAATAATAAACAGCCTGTTTGCTAAAAGTTCCCTTTCTCCTGATGTATCCCCACCACACCACAAGCTTTAACTGATATGCAAGGTATTCAGAACATCACTTCTCCCAACACTGACATGCAGCCACCTCTGAGATGAAACAGAGCAGCTGTATAAATAGCACACAGCTCTACACTTTATGCAGTGATCACTACAAAGGGATTTAGGAAAGCTAAATATTACTAGGGAAGCTGGAATTCTGCCAGGCCACCATGGTTAACACTCTTGCTTTTGTGGGAAAAAATCCCTGGAGAGCTTTAAATAGTCATAGGGTTCAGGGAAATTATGTTGCATCTCAATCAAAATGTATAAAAATGTTTCTTCTGACTCACGTAAATGGGATTGCCTCCTCCTGAGCAGATTATAGAAAACAAATCTTAATAATCAGCACGAATTACTGCTGCAAGTACAGTTATTATGTAGAGGGCCCAATTCAGCCCAAATGTTACCGGGCTAGGCACTAAGAACCCCTTTGTGTGGAAGAAGCCCTGGCACACTAGAAGGAATTCATCTTGGGGAAGGACACGGGTTTTGATATCCCAGAAAACTCTTGGGAAACCCATCCGTGGAGATGGATGAGGAGAATCACTGTCTCAGTATATCACTGGGGAGCCAGCTCCTACCAATACAACCCACTGCTTGTTCTGTGGGGTTTACTGGATGAGAGACTATATCTGCCTTATGCTGCTCCACCTCACAACCACAGGGCATGGGGCCCTGCCCTCCACATACACCAGCAGTTCCCAAACTCTGCCAGGTTGCATACCACCAATTCAAAATGATATCATCTTCATTATCCCCAGCACTTAAGATGGGGTGTGAGGGTGTGTGCATATATGTGTGGGTGGGTGGGTGGGTGGGTGTATGGTATGCCATGTGAGGGGCTTGTGAGGGGGTGTGGTTGTGTGTGTGGAGGACCATAGAGTATGTTAGGGGGGTTGTGTATACGTGGGGGCCTGTGGGGACCCCCCACACTCCCTTCATGGTGCAGCAGCAGACAGGGGTGCTCAGAGCACTGGTGGGGCACAGCTCCAGGCAGACCTGCACATCGCGGTGACAGGTGTATCCTCCTCCGGACAGTCTGTATTACTGGTGCTCCCCGCACTCATCGGGCATGAGAGGTAAGTCCCATGTGCTGGAGCCAGCTGCCTTCCCTGCCCCGCAAGGGAAGGCGCCTGGGGCTTCCCTCCTGCACCACACAGCCCCAGTGGGGAAGGCAGCGGACTCCAGCATGCAGGGCTTCCCTCCTGTGCCCAGTGAGTGTGAGAGCTGCCCGTGCGCAGACAGCCCAGCAGAGGCTGCGCCCCTCACTGCAATGTGCAGCACTGGCCGGAGCTGCACTACGCCAGGTGCCTGCACCGGGCATGAGTACCCTGAGTGCCCCTGCCTGCTGCTGCCACCGCCTGCCATGGCTGCATGCCATGGGGGGAGTGGGAGTGTCCCCACCCTTCCTCACACTCACATGCTGCCCAGCTGAGCTCCATGCTGCTGCCATCCCCCGGAGCATGGGCTCCGCACTGCTGCCAGCCCCATGCTCTGTGCTCCTGCTCAGCTGCAGCCCTGTCCCCAGCAGGAGACCAGGAAAGCCAAGCAGGTCCCTGGGGACTGCAGCAGCAGCCCCGCCTGGAAGCTGTGTGCTGGTGGGACCAGGCCCACAGGGGCAGGAGCAGAGTCAATAAGGTATGTTTGGGGTGTATGTACACATGGGCACCTCGCTCTCACCCTTGTGGGCGGGGCATGTGTACCACTGGTGGTATGCATACTACAGATTGGGAACTGCTGATATACACCATACACATAGGCAAATCTATCCTGCAAAGATTGAGTGACATACCAAGACTTCTCAGGGGAGCCACTGGATCTGCTTGTGCCAACAGTCCTGATGATCCCAATTGAACTTCTTGCATAAGTAGTTGTCCTTACCTCTTTTTCCAGTGCTCTTCACCCACAACTCTCACAATACCCAAGTTAATAAAGAAGGCTTGGGCAGGGAGCAGAGCAGTGCCTAGCTTCCAGGCTCATGCTCAGCCCATTATTTGCCGCTGCCTGTAAACCCTGGCATGCATTTCCAAACCACTCTAGGAACAGACTTTATATTTCTCTTGCGGGTGTCGCTAAGCTCTGTCTATATCAGTTACATCATTGTTTCCATAGAAATTAATGTGCTCCTGGGGTAAAATTGTCTACCTTTTTTGACCTTCAGAGCAGGCTGTGAGGCACATCTTTTTACAAGGGCTAGTAGAAAAATCAATGTTGTTAAGGGTGATTTAAAGGGAAAGCAAGAATTTGGTTTGTTTTTGTGTTTCCTGATAATTGAGTATTATTGAGTAGCTTTCCTGTTTTGATATATGGATTCCTTGGATTTTTTAATACAGTGTGTAAACAGTGGCTTCTTGCTATTTTATAAATCTATGTAAAATCAGGTTTTTCCATTTTAATATAGCCATCCTCTGCGGTACTGTGACTCTTCCATCTCCTTTAATACAATGATTCATCCCTGATGTAACTCCCCAGACTTTGGCTGTGCTGCACTAAGGATGAATAAGTAAGTAAACGACACAAAGAAATGAAGGATGGAGGGAGGAAGAGTGGAAGCTTCTGCCAGCTAATTTGATCTGGGGGCTCAGGTGAGCAGGAAATGGCTGCTCTGTACTTCTCAGCTTTAGGTGCAGTGCTGTTTTTTCACTTTGAATTCAGCAGCTGAACGCCCAGGGGTTTTAGGGAGAACAGGGAAAACAGCAATTGGTTCAACTAGTCTGCTCCACTCTATGAATCATCTACTATCTCTTCCCCTGCTTTTGCACCATGCCCCAGTGATTGCCCCAGAAGCACTGTATGTGCTCTCTCCAGGCCCATCATGTTCTACTTTTTGCCTTCAACAACTCTTTCTGGCAACTTATCTTAGACAGTATGTTAAAAATTCTAGCCCTAAAGGCAACAAACACATGGAATCAGTTGCCCAAGAAGGCCGTTGGTTTCTCTCAGCAAAGGCACTTAGCAAGAGTTAGTGTTCAGCTCACTGTGTCCCTGGCTGTTTCATCTGAGACAAGGCTGATAAGGGGATTTCCTTTGAAGGGGAAAAACATAAACTATATTTATATGCAGATAATTTCCTATTTGTTGTATTTAGCTTAACAGATTCAGTTTCTGGCCTCTCTCACGTACTGTCTTTGACCATATGAAACATATTCACAGTTGTCTGGATGCAAGATTATTTGCCAGAAGCTGGGGAGGTGCCATAGAAATTTTGGCTTCGGAGGGCAAGGGGGGCAGGGTTTCTGATTCCTCCCTCTCATATTCTGCTGCTAGATATCAAAGGTTTTTGGGAGGAAATGGGTGGGGAAAGAGGAGAGGTGGTATTTAACCTTTGCCGCAATTCTTTTTTCACAGGTATTTCTATTGTTGTCCACTACCATAGTACCTTGGAATACTATTTATAACTTTGATCAAGACAAAAAGAATTGTCTTGTATATGTATATAAACACATGCATGTAATGAATAGATATATAGAAAAAGAGAGTGTTAATAGCCTGTAGGCCACCCTCACCACATTGATTTTATAGGGTGCCTACAAGTACATCAGTTAAAAAAGCAGTAAAGGACATTGAGCTACACATGTAGAAAAGGCTAGGACTAGAGATGCAGCCTGTAAAACCCTCTGTATGCAACTAGGCCCAAAGTTGGGGAATGTAAGTGCATCCACCTGATCTCGTATAGGCGCTCTCTAGCAACCTTAGAGTGCACACCCGGTTCCGGCCACGGGGTGTGCCCCCGGGACCTCTGCATTGGGTTGCGTTCACCCCTGAGGGAGGCCCCGACACTCGCCTGCCACAACTTGATCATCTTTTCTTCAGTGGTGGGGTTTCCCCCTTCCAGATTCTCGCAGACCAGGTGCTGCCCTTTGCCGGTGTACTTGGGGCTCCACCTCCCCTACACCCCTGCCATACGCCAGCCCTCAGGACCACCAGATGATGGGTCACCAGCCTGTCCCTTAGATGGTCTCGTCCACTGTCTTCTTTCCTTGCCCGTCCTTCGCTGACCTTCTTAGCCCAGGTGACTGCAGGACGTGGGACCGTCCTTTTCTTTGCATCTGCTTGCCCTCCAAGGCACTGTGGTCTGCTGCACTGCCTCAGTTCCCCATCTTGACCCGTGGTCACTTGGAGGGGTTCATTCCCTGGTCAGGGCTCTGTGTGCCCTCCAAAAATACAATACAAAAAAAGAGAAGAAAAGAATAAATGGGGTATGGACCTCAGCCCACCCCACTCATAGATCCAGCATCTGTGGTTCTTGAGATCCCTTGATGCTGTCCTCCTTGGCCTGGCTGCCCTGCTGAGCTGGATGGGTAATTCTTTTAATGGAGTTGAGACCCCGCCTGCAGGTCCCTGTCTGGCCCCCTGCACAGCTGCCAACACTGCTGAGGTGCAGCCTGGGGGGCAGCTTCACACCCTGTCTCCTGCGTTGCTGTTTCCACTCCCATTTCCCCACCGCCGGCTTTTAAATCAGGCGGGTGGTGGTTTTTGCTGACATCACCTGCCAGCACTGTTCCCAGCTGGCAATAAAAGCGGCTGATGAACCATGCCAGCAGCCCTTCTCGGTGTGGCTCTGCCTCTCCTGTGAATGGTAAGTGTGCCCTCTTTTCAGGGCTTTTAATTTCTTTCTTCGGGCAGGTCAGCCCTACCTCGGGTCCCACCGCAGGAGGCTGCTCCAGTGCCTCTGCTTGTATCCCCCTGGGACAGTAAGATAAAGTATGCAGGGTCTGCAAGGGAAAGTAGAGGTAGCATTAGTGAGTGTAAGAAACTAGTCCCCAGGAAGAATTTTCCCCATTCCTCTTGCATCATTTCACAAACTGACTTAATATAGCTGGGTTCCTATATTGTGTCTTCTTCTGAAGGTCCAGACATAGTCCACAGACCAGCCAAAGTAGGAGAAAGATAGGCATTTCCTGTATTTCAGCTCTTGTGGAATTGTGTAGAAAAAATAATCAGATACAATCTCCTTCATGCTATCCAGGGGATTAACCCTTGCAATTCACACATTAAGTTATGGCTTGACTAAACCTCCTGATGTTTCCACCACTGCCCCACTGCACTTCAGATTTAAAAGGGATTCAGCAGTATAGCCCAGACAACCAGATATGAATGTCTAACACTTTGCCACATATGCCATTGCCACATTTGAATGAAAGCAGCTCTATCAGCTCTAAATATACTCACCCAGAACTGAGCCTTTTCTATTTTTGTCTGGGCCTAAACGGTCAGCGTTGCCCTTCCTGAAGATCACTGCCTCCAGTCCCTGGATCTTTCTCCATTTCCATCTTTCATGTATCTTACTCTTCTGGATGATGACTCCTGTAGGAAGACCCATGCCATTTAGTGTGAGTATAGACATATTAGCCCCATAGCCTCAACTGAGGTAATTACTCTCAGTTCTATTTTGCTCCTCCTCTTCCAGATGGATTTTACATGCTTTTTCATTCTTCTTATTCATTGTCTGTTCTATTTATTGAGATGGTAAACACTTCTGTGTAGGATCTATTTCTTAATATGTGCTTGTACAATGTCTACTATGATTGACCGCTAAACTTGACTGTGTCTCCAGTAACTACCACAACACCAGGAAGCAAACAGGCAACAATACCAAAAGCCTGCTTTTCAATAGCATAAAAATATTTTTTTTTCACAAATAGCATTTCTCCTGCTAGCAGTAGCTGCATCCTGAAAGTGGATGAGCTTCTAACTGTGAATTGTCTTGGAATCCCTCCCTTTGGTCATTTTCAGTATTTATTTTAATTTTGTACAGAACTTGGGGCTCAATCCTACACCAGGGAGGTTCATAGGCACTTTGCTTGGGGGTCCTTGAGAGCCAGATTGCGCTGTTGAGGTCTAGAGGTTAGAGCACTTATTTAAAAAATGCATGACCATTAACTTAATATCTTCAATCAAATACAGCTACATAAATTACTCACATTAATGACTTTTTATGTAATTGACACATTATTACAGTTCTGTCTCAGTCTCCTCATTTTGGATGACCACCAGCCTGTTATATTGGGTTCTACCTTTGATCTCACACGGTTCCAAGCTAGTTGGTCTAAACAGCATCCAGACATTTTCTCTAGTTCTGGACTGTTCTGTATGCTATAGTGTGCTTTTCTGGCACCCTTCCTTTAGCTGAGGGACCCCACCGTCCAACTGTCCTGGTCCCTGAGAGCAGAGTTGAACTCCCAGTGGTTTACCCACAACTGTCTCTAGAGCTTCCTGCTCTTGGGAATTCTGGTTTACTGCCTACCTCTTCAGGGCCCATGTAATAAATTAAAGCAGGGAGTACCCACACGGTTGGTAAAGAAATTCTCAAGCACACTTATGCACACCCAGACAAACACAATTTCTCTTTAGAAGTTGCAAGAGACACAGATCTTGGGAAAAACAATAAACACCTGAGCACAGTTCCCTCCAACAGAGTCCTCACTATTCCTCTGAGGCCTTTGAGATCTGTTAGGTGTCCTTCAGAGAGGCACCAGGTCCTTGTGTCTTGCTGCTACCCACTTCCCAGTGCTCTACTTCTACATTAGCTGTTATTGCACAGAGGACATGTCTACAGGTGCATTAATGCACCTTTTCTAATGCACATTAAATTTAGTATCTCCAGCATGAGATATTAAATTAATCTGCATATGCACACTTTTTTAGTGACACTTCATGAGAGTAGACTATTTTACTGTGCATTAGCGTAATGTCACATTTTTATGTGATGCTTTAATGCACAGTAAAATAGCCTACTGTGCATTAAAGTACATGTGTAGACACACCCAGGAAAGAGATCTAGATGTCATTGTGGACAGTTCAGTAAAAATATCAGCTCAGTGCTCAGCAGGCATCAAAAGCAAATAAAATGTTAGGGATTATTAAGAAGGGAATAAATCCATGGTGTGTCTACCCAGTTCCGGTCCTCATACCTGAAAAATGATACAGAAGAACTAGAGAAGGTCCAGACAAAGGCAACAAGGAAGATTAGTTATATTGGGGGGCTTCCTTATGATGAGAGACTAAAGAGGTTATGCCTATTCAGTTTTAAAAAGAGATATTTGAGGGGGGATATGATAAGGGTTTACAAAATACTAAGTGGTGAAGAGAAAGTAAATAGGGATTTATCATTTACTATCTGTCACAACGTAAGAACTATGGATCACAAAATGAAACCAACAAAAGGAAGTTCTTTTTTCACACCACGTGTAATGAAAGCATGCAACTCACTGCCACCAGATGCTGTGGGTGCAGACAGGTTAGCCAGATTCAAAAAGGGATTGGACAAATTCTTGGAAGAAAGGTGCATCAGTAGCTACTGAGCATGGGAGTTAGGGGTATAGCATTTGAATCAAAACTTCTTAGACTTTAAATGCTGGAGGCTTGAAGTGACAGCGGAACAGTGGGGTGAAAAAACCCTGGTCACTCTCCCTTTCAGCATCCACTCCCTGCTGCTGTGTGACAGAGGACCCTGGGCAAGATGGACCTATGATCTGACATGGTAAATGGCAGTTCTTAAATTCTAATAACAATTGGCCCCTCTTTTCAAGGAGATTGATCCATCGCCAAGCACGATACATCTTTGTGCTTCTCAGTTTGGGGAGTTTCTGTTCTCCCTGCCCTTCCCTGGTATTGCTGGCAGAAGGCCAAAGGTCAGTGATTCAGGCTGTCATTCCCTAGGTGGGGCTTTCAGTTGCTGGTGGCCTTTAGTGAACCTGTCACAGATTTACATAAATGATCTGTTATCTGCAATAAAATGGGAGTTTTAATCTGCACTGAAGTTATAGTTGGAAATAGCCTTCATAAAATCAAACAGAAGTCATAAATATACATAGGCAGTTCCCCTAAGTTATCTGGTACACACATTATTACTATGTGTGTTGCCTTCTAGCATCAAAAGCTGAGAGCAAGTATAGATATAGTAAAGTCATAATAAAAAAATGCAGTTACCATATGGCATGTTTCTAGTCTTGCATGTCTCTAGCTCTCTGAGGGATGAATACATTTACCATGCAATATCTAGATTTATTTAAAGAGTTTCAGAAAACTTTTCTGCTGAAGCTGATTCATTTGATTTCTAACTGAATGAATTAATTTGCTGCATTAACAATAAATGTCCTTCTTTTAAGTAAATTATCATTATTCTAAAAAAAAAAGTAATAAAAAACCACCTAAAACCCTTAAAATTCCTTTCCGTCAGTCAATCAGACCTCGTGTATCAAAAATGCTGTGTTCTGCTCTACATCTAGAACCCACAGTATTAGAGAACGTGCTAAATCAGGCATGGCAGGATCACTTCCACACCAACCATGCAGAGGACAGTATTCTTTTTCTCATCCCAGTGGCCTCCTTTTTCACACCTGTTAGCATCTGGTTCCTAATGCAAGGCATTGTGAAACTCAGAAAGAATTAAAAATATAATATTTGCTGTACTTCCATTGAGAGGAATTGATTTCTGAAGATACCACAGCTCCCAGAAGCCTTTAAAAACAAATTATTTTCTGAGTTACACCTTCATTTTGCTGATTTTGTGCAAGCTTAGGAAAACCCTGGATGTAAACATATCTCAGCTTTGTAGAAAACTCTGGGTCTGAGTTGTTATGCAATGTGTTACAAACACAGAAAATATAGCCTCTCATGGGCATGCACATATCACAGGCGAAGCAATTTTCAAAGGCTGGAAGACCAAATGCTTCAGATCTATTCCCAACAATAGGTTCCCAAGCATTCCTCAAGGTTCAAATTATGTATGCTCTTGGCCAGTATTTCTCAGAAACTCCACTCACCTGCATTTTTCATCAACCTGTTGATAGAAATGGAAGTTTCTCAGAGATGAGAAAGTAGCGTTCTGGGGGAGGAGGGTGGCCAGAAAGAGACTGTATTTTATTCTCACACTTTTTCCTTCATAATCAAGGTGAAAGATGAGCTCATAGAAATGATTATCTAAATTTTACATGAACAGGAAAGGAGCTTTTATCCATAAGCTGTCACAACTCTGTTCCAGTCTGGGTAATAAAAAAAAAGACACTTCCCAAGAGACACTTGGTCTGCCACAATTAAAGCAGTTAAATATTTGTTAATCAATTCTTATTTTAAAAAGGCAGTGACATGCATTTGGCAATATCTTGAACAGCTTTATTTTCATCTCTGAAGAAAGAAATGACCTGGTTTAACCACTTATATGGCCGAAATGAGCCACCTCTACAAAGAGATCATGCCTTCAGGTCAGGGGTTCCTTTTGCCAGAAATTGTAGATGTTATGTGTCGTGTACACTTTGGGTCTCAGTTTCTTGTTACATTTTCTTTTAATTTGAGGATAATCTGAGATGTATGCTACTTGCCACTTAAAACCAAGGAAAAAACTGCAACTGTATTTTCCATGTATGCAGAAATCTTTCACATGTGCCAAGTGTCAGGGTAGACAAAAGAGCTTTGATCATATGCAGACACCATAACTAGCTACTTGTTTCAATTACAGAACATTTTAGCTATTATTACATGACAGGCTGGCACACTCAGTGCATGACGTAATTTTATGAAAGCTTTTCATTTCTTTCAGCGCAGTTCCCACCCCAGGCTACTCCACTTATAGCGGAGTAGTATCATTTTGAACCAACCCAAGAAGATATCTTAAACTGAGACCTGCAACAAATCTATGACATGCCCAATGCATCTGCCATTAAGAATTCAGACCATCATCCTCATCACCAGATTTGTGAATTTTCCATAGACTTTGGTTGTTATTCTTTTTTCTTTCTCCATTTATTTCAGGCCAAATTAATGCATATTCCTATGCAGTAATATATTTTCACATGTATTTGCAGTGCTCTCCTGGTCAGCAAACTTTGTAATGAATAAAATCACAAAAGTACTGACAAAAAAGTAATAAAAATAATTGATTGCTATTAAAGTGGGTGTGTGGTTTCTATTTGAACATATACCTATGAATATTTATTTGCAATATCTGTGGAGTTCTAATCTTCATCTATTGAATGTATTAAACTTATATTTCAATCAGTACATCTAATTTCAAATCGAATAATTAAGTGTATTTATAATAAACATATGTAATTCCTCACATATGAAACTGCCATTTTGACATTGCTAACAAAGTATGACTGAAAGTCTCTGTTTCATTTGAAAGCCCTGTATGCAGTGTCAGAGCTACTGAAGAGTTGTTTGATTAATTTAACAGTAGTTAAACCAGCTTTTTAACTCAAGTGCTAATTGAGCGTTAGGCAGGAATAACAGCTGAGTGCCAACTTTACACTCTGAAAAAACGCTAAACTTTGGAAATCCTACAGCCTGAAATTTAATTATTTCTC